CATAGTCCAGAAGACACCAAATCTATTACATTTGGACCATGTAAATCCAGCAAGTCAATTCTTCCATTCCTTTATTCTTATCCTATAAATTTTGAAAATATGTGGGGATTGTGGGAGTATTTTTAAAATTTTAAATAGCCATGAGTCTTTTTATTTAGAAGTGTCCTATCTATTTCCAAGTGGCTTATTGCATAAAGCCTTGTGGCCAAATACTCTTAGATAATTGATACATGAGAAGAGTTTTTACATGTGGCATTGATTTAAAAGATTGTTTGACAAATGGCCTTGCTAAGCCAATTATCATTTTGCTATGAGATGTGTTGTTATTTGCATAAAAGAAAATTGACAAGTAAGTAAGACACTTGTCATGAAACTAAACTCATTTTCATGCTATAAATAGGATGGTCATTAGCCATCATATTCACTCAATTCTAAACCAAGAATTCTTCTTTAGCTAATCATTACTTTATTCCTACAATCATTACATATTATTTCTTCTCTCCAATTTTCTGAACCTGCTGGACTTATTATTTAATTTTGCTGATTCTTGTATCCTCTAAATAAATTGAGATGGGCTTGTTTAATACATGGAAACATTTCACATTGCTTAAATAGTTTCTTAGGACAGTGCCCAGCACGCTCAAGCCAATTCGTGTATCTGCTTACAAATAATATTATTGCAGCATTATTATCGTTATTTTCTGGTGTCATTTCCCTACGTAATAGGCATTGCTGTCACCTTTTTTTTCTTTCTCTTTTTGGGCATTGCTATCACTTTGTTGTCAAAACTGGTTTGAGCCGTATAATAGATTTCGTTTTTGCAGCACTAAATTTCGACAATTGCTCTGTCTATACTTCATCACGTGAATTATAATTTTGTCCGAGCAAAGTATGCATTTGTTTTTTCTGTTGACCATGGTTATAGAAAATATTTCAATCATTTGAGCTCTTCTGGTACTCTTCGAACTAGTTTTTCAAACTTCAAATTCTATATTTACAAGTTGGAGTTGAAATAATGGGACTAAATGGTAAAACAAATATTAATCTGCAAATAACATTTCAAATACTAGAGTATTATTTATGACCAGATGGAAGTGATGGAACTAATCATTTGAGTGCTGTAGGTAAAAAGAAATAATAGTTGCTTGTATTTCAACAAACATTTGTTGATTTTCGGAAAATAATAACAGCGAAAACGTCGAAAAGGTTTTGCCTCGTCTCCGTTTGGCATCAGCCCAACATTACAATTTTATTAAAATTATTTTTTGTTGGTGTTTAGTTAATTAACTTTTGAGGTTTAACTGGCTATATTTTTTAAAATTACTTTTAAATATAAAAATATTTAGTTTGAAATCATCTTCAAATAGTATGGATGGATGAAAATCATTTAATTTTTATTTTCAAATTGCTTTAAGATAGTACGGGTAAATATAAAAATCTTGTAAATATCGATACTTCTTTTAGTTGTTGTATATTTAAAAATTAATTTTATTTTCTTTATGGAAACTTCTATTTGAATAACAAAATTAATAATTTTTCAAAATGAGAAAAAGATTGGAAATGAGCATTTGCACTCCACAAATAGTTTAATCAACACATGCATAGTGCATTGAAAGGAGAGTTGTGGCTAAAGGAATGTGGGGTCCACGTATATTTTGCATTTAAGAAATACAAACATGAAATTTTTATGAAATGACATATATGCCCTTGGTCAACCATCTTACCTTTTCTATATAATAGAAAAGAAATACTTGCTAATTCGTTCAAGAGAACTACTACTAGAATCACTATTGCTACAATAAAAGCCATTCCTTTAATTTAATCATTCGTTTTGGTTTTCCCCCTCTTCATTTCATCTTTTCCACAAACAAACCAAAAAAAAACATAAAACAATTATTGTGAATTTTTTTCCAATTAACTTGTGGACGATATATTTATGAACGTTATAAATAGTATGAACCTCGACTTTATTTACAAAGGGATTCAAGTTCCTTTTTTCCAAAAAAAAAACTGATATGAAACTTAGGCTTGTTTAGGAGTGGGCATAGTTTGGGCAAACTCGAAATTTGGTTGTTTTAAAATTTTGGATTGGATTTTAAATTTAATTTCTAAAATTTCTGAATTTCGGATTGGATATATGTTGGATTAAGTATTTCGGAATTTCTAGATATCCGAAAATTCAAAATTTTATAATTTACATTTAGTGTACCCATTAGACATTAGTCCATTGCCTGTATGCTAATAGTTATAAGTCCAATACCCTATTCATTAGACATTACCTCATATATTCAATACTAATTACTAAATTACTGTTGTATTACTTTCTATTTGGACATGATTTTACTGTTACTAATTCTTATCGGCCTTAATAATGTATCTGTTGCATTTTCTTCATAATGATTTTAGGGGAATATTCATAAAGAACAATAGTTTAGAGCCTAATTATGATATGTAATTATAGTTTGCCTAATTACCATTCTTAGCTATTGTTTAGTTGTTACCAGCTTGTATCACGTGTATGCAAACGTGCAACGAATATAGTTGACAATTGTATTTGTTCATGCAACTGTATTCGTTCATGCAATTGTATTCGTTGCGAATGAACACAACATGTATCAGCTGTATCCGTTTACACAACAAATACAACCAAAATGGAATATATGGATGTATACAAAGGATACAACCTGTATTGATTGTATTTATGCGTTTAATGAATACAACCAAGGCAAAATACGGGGGTGTATACAAAGGATACAACCCGTATCGATTGTATTCATTGGTGTAACGAATACAACCAAAATAAAATACAGAATGCAGAAAATAAAATATTCTTTTTGAGAGTTAAACTCAAGACATTTGCTTACTAAGTGGGTGCTCTAACTTCTTGAACTACGAGAGCATGTTGCTCTCTTGTTTCAGTTCAAAACAATTGATCTTTTGTTTCAATACTATAGGTGCATTTGCTATAAAATTCAAATATAGCGACGAATGTTTTTTTTTTGTTGAAAAGTATAACTGTGAATGGTAAATACAATGTATATGTTTGTTGTGTCACGTAAATTTACTTGAATGCTTTATTTGAATAATTGATGTGAGAATGAAGAACTTTTTAGATAATTCAACATGAATACTTCATTTGGATGTTTATTTTGATACGAAGAAGAAACAACTCAATTTATAGGCTTTAATGCCGCAAATTCCAAATATTCAAATCAATTAAGCCGAAATAGAATTTAATCAATCCGATCCATTCCAAGCTTATTTGAATTGTCATTTCTTCAATCTAAAAACCAATAGTCTTAATGTTCATATCCAATCCGAATAGTCCGAACATCCATCCCTAATCTTGTTCACGTAGATTTTGGGACAGAAGTCTTCTCAAGTAGTTGTTAAATTCAAGAGTTTTTGTTAAGTAATTTTGATCTGATATTATTTGACATAGTTAAACGGCCCCTTTACCTGGTACTATTTTCAGGCCCTTCTTTTATATGGCACTGTATAATACATGGTACATTCATTAATCGAAATACAAAAACTGAAATTCACCTTTATCATCAATAAGTTTAGCTGGGGAATTTATAACATGGGCTTCTCTTTGTTACTTCTTTTAGAAAGACAACTCATTTTGTGATTCCAGCCGTAACTACCAAAACGAAGGATAAAAAGGTATTTTTTCCTTTGTTTAATTTAAATGACATACTTTCTTCTTTGATTGGTTCCAAAAAGAATAACATATTTTTATATTTAGAAATAATTTAATTTTAAACTTTTTATTTACACATTTTATTTTTAATGAGAAGCTTGTATAGCCATAAAAATGTCACGACTCCACAAAGCTTTTGTCCGTTAAGCTTTTAGGACCACATGTTTCAAAAGTCTTCCTTTCTTTTCCCCTTAAAGTTTGTGTCAAGTCAAACTATGTCATCTAAATTGAAACGGAAGTAGTATATATTTCAGGAGCTAAATTAGTTGGCAATGAACAAGTAAGAAATCACTTCAACTAGATAAATTCACTTATTTCATACAATTCTTCTTATCATGCCCTTGTACTATGTGAAATTATTCAACTTTATCTTTGGAAAATGACACTATATAACAACTTTCAAAATAATAGCTGAAAAAATATTTATATATATATATATATACATATATATATATATATATATATTCTGTATATCATATACAAAAATTATACACAAGATTTTTGAAAAATTTCTGAAATATCTCTTTGGCAGGTTAAAAGTGATAATATCTCTTTTATTTTTCGTTACTATTAGCAGATCACCAGAACTCCAAATGGATGGACTCCGCGTGTTCAATTTGTTGAAAAGGGATCTAAGGCCCCGTTTGGTCATACATTTTGGCACTATTTTTTCAAATCTTTTTTGAAAACATTATTTGTTCATAGATTAATGATCTATTTTTGAAAATTTTCTGAAATTATTTTTTAAATTCCCAAAATCTAGTTTAGGGTAGATTTTGGGTGAAACTTGTTCACCCACTCATAAAACTTCAAATTTTTTTCAAATAAAATGCATGTCCAAACATAATTTCAACTTCCAAAAATTATTTTTCAAAACTACTTCAAAAATTATTTTTTCAAGTTTCAACTAAATCTATGTCCAAACGCTAGCTAAAATTCACCTGTCAACTTTTGATAAAATTATCCCTAAATTGGAGTTCCGTCAAGGATCAACAGCAAAACAAGATTTTTTTTAATCTAATGGCGGATGACGGGGCATATTAGATCAAGGTTTAAGAAATTGCAGAGTTACTAGATCAATTATTATAGATTTTACAATTAGAAAATATAACCCCCTTTATAATTCTCTTTTTGCGAGTTTCAGAGAAGTAATTATTCCCCTGTAATAATGAGTTGTACGTCTCAAAGTGTGTGCAAGCCTCTGTAATTGGATCTCTACACACTGTACAATTCGCATTGAATAATAATCTATAAAAACAAAGTTTAAATAAAATAATTGGTTTGCCCCATTAATAGAGTACTCACGCTCGCCACCACTGTCCTTTCAACCAAAAAGCTGTCCAAACACACACACACACACTCTTTCTCTCTCTAAACGTCAATGGCGAATCCAAACTCTGCATAATCCTTGCAACTGTCCAACCTTTACTTATATATCTATATATAACGGAATTACGCTCGCTCATACTTTCACTCGCATTGTTACTATCTGGTAATCTAACATTCCTAATCATTAGTTTTGTTCAAGTGTGATTCCAAAATTTAGTGTTAACGAGTTGAAAGTATATAAAATTGTTTTGTGTTCACGTGATTTGAACCAAAAGCAATGAGTTTAGTTGAATCCACTCCAAAAGGCTAGATTAGTCCCTCTGACTTTGTTAGTGATCGACTTTATATAATGTGATTTTATTATAGTGTGCAAAGTTGATTCGGATCTGATCTGTGTTGAGATGTTGTTACCTCTCATGCTGGAATGCTGGAAAATTGGACTCAATTGTGATTAGGATGTTCGTTTCAGCTGCTTTTTTTTTTCTTCCTCTTTATTTTTATTGATCTTAGGTGGATTTTCTGTTCTTGATCTGTATTTAAGGCCCTTTTCAGCTAGAAATACTGAAAGTTGGATTATCAATAGTGATTATTAGTTTCTGTTTTTTTTTTTTTTTTTGGTTATGTGTCTATTTTCGTTCATCTTAGGTGAAAAAAATTATGTTTTGATGTGTATAACTGTGTTTGAGGTGAAGGGGAGCCTTGGGGCAACGGTAAAGTTGTGTCTGTGTGACCTAAGAGTCACGAGTTCAAGCCATGGAATCAACCACTGAACCTTGTGTCAGAGTAGACTGCCTACATTACATACCTTGGGGTTCGGCCCTTTCCCGTACAGTATGTAAATGCGGAATATTTCGTGTACTCCCCTCCCCCCTTTTTTTAATCTGTGTTTGAGGCCTTTTTCTGCTTGAATTGCTGAAAAGTGGAACTTCAATTGTGCTTGCCGTGTTAGTTTCTGGTGATTCTTTATGTATTTTTGTTGGTGAATTTTCCCCTTTTTATTGATTTTAGAATTGATGTTCTTTTTTTTTTTTGCAGGTTGATTCGTCCGTATAGTTGCTGGATTTGAGTTATTTTGCTTTTGAGCATAGAGTTAAGAGTTGTTTCAGAATTGTCATTTTATAGTGCAGTTGTGTTTTAGAGGACTTTCAAGTCCATTTTGAGGAGTGGTAATTCATGCATCATTACCATCCGGGAGGAGTTTTGGTTGATCAGGATTTGCTTGTTTTAGTTTCCTATTGCAGACCTATAGGATTGAGATTGTGCTAATTGTGATCTCGATTATTGGTTTGGTATAATTTTGGAAAATCATTCTTGTAAGGAAGTTAGGTAGAGTTTGAATGCTAGCTGAAATTGCTCACGTTTTGGGCGATATATATGGGAGATGGTATCTGATGATAGCTTATAGTTTTCACAGTTCTCGGAGGTTCAGGTTGAAGCAAATAGCTAGCACATTGTGAACTTCTCAACTTGAATTTTCTAGAGGTTACAGAAACTCGGACATGAAAAGCCCTTTGCTTCACAAATTTTCTAAAACTTTCCGGACTAGACCGCAATTCAACTGGTTACTCTTCTGTCTTGTCAGTGTCTTGGTGGTAATAGCATTGCTAGGATCATCTTCTTCAAGTGCCTTTAACTCGGTAACTTCCTCTGTGAAGCCTGATATCTATACGAATTACAGAAAGCTCAAGGAGCAAGCGAGAAGTGATTATTTAGAGCTAAAAAGCCTTTCTGTGGGAGAAAATCAGATAAAGGATGTTGGTCTTTGTGGTAAGGAAAGAGAGAATTATGTGCCTTGCTACAATGTGTCTGCAAATACTTTAGCTGGGTTTAAAGATGGGGAGGAGTTAGATCGGCATTGTGAGTTATCAAGAGAACATCAATATTGTTTGATTCGTCCTCCTAAGGACTATAAGATTCCGCTGTCTTGGCCAGCAGGTAGGGATGTAATATGGAGCGGAAATGTGAAGCTAACCAAAGATCAGTTCCTTTCTTCTGGAAGCATTATGAAAAGGTATAGTTAATTAAATTATCTTGTAGATGATGTTAAACATGTTAAATTGCGTACTTCACATGCTAGAAGGATGAACGCATCTGTTTTTAAGTTTCCGAACTCTTCTGGATTGATTCATTTGTAGGAATAATCTTGAAGTCTTTATGTGAGGTGACAACTTTCATTCTACCTCATAATGACTTTTGTTTTCTCCAGGCTAATGTTACTAGAAGAGAATCAAATTGCTTTCCATTCACAAGATGGGATGATTGTCGATGATGTCAAAGATTACTCTCACCAAATCGCAGAGATGATTGGGCTGGGAAGTGACACAGAATTTCTTCAAGCTGGTGTAAGTAAATCTTTTGTTCATCTTTCCATAAGCTACTTGATTGAGCCCTTACTTGTTTCCAAAGAATCAATGCTTCTAGTATGCTACCGGTTTCATAGTGTTGGAACTCTGACGCAGAACCATAATTCTACTCTAGAAATAAAGATTTTTCTGTGCTGAATTACAGGTGCGTACTGTACTAGATATTGGTTGTGGATTTGGTAGCTTCAGTGCCCACCTACTCTCGTTGAACTTGATGGCTCTTTGTGTGGGAGCATATGAGTCATCCGGAAGCCAAGTTCAGCTAACACTCGAGAGAGGACTTCCTGCAGTCATCGGAAACTTTATTTCAAAACAGCTACCATTTCCATCATTGTCCTATGACATGGTTCATTGTGCTCAGTGCGGAATCATTTGGGACAGCAAAGGTATTGTCCTTACTGGGGTTTCATGAAGTGTGTTTCCCATTCTCATTATCGTTTAATGTGGACTGACCTTAATTACCGCCAGTAGTTTATGAAGATTTGTTTCATTAAGTATTCTTCAGTTTACCTAATTATGATACTTACTTTATTTTACTAGTCTATTTTATGCTGTGAGAGAAATACTTCACAACTATTGAAGTATTGATCCACGGTATCTTCTACGCTATCTACTTCCCAACAAAACTCTTTTACAGTCAAAACATCTTCGCCAAGATAAAATAAGTCTGGTCGATAAGGCCAATCTCGCTAGAAAGGTTTGGTGATACTGCTGATAAAGTTTTTGTTCTAATATAAAATTCTGCCCCTGCTCTGTCTCACCAAAGTGTAACTGCCACTAGTTGCTGCCCTAGAAGTTAAGGCAGTCTTCTTCCTGGGATGATTGACCTTTACTGCTAAGCTGAAGTTAAATATATCTTCACATTTAGACACCTTCATCTTTTTCGGATAGTGATGAGTTCTAGTTTTTGTTTGTTTATTGGATTCCTCAACAACCATCAGTATGGTAATCCTCTGAGAATTTATACCTGAAACAAGTCTGTAATGGCATGAAACTAATAATGATTTGGTGAAACAGATGAGCTGTTTCTTATTGAAATTGACCGTGTACTCAAGCCTGGAGGTTACTTTGTTTTGACCTCACCCATAACACGGAGGCAGGGTAGTCCAACCAGTTCAAAGAAGGGAAGCATATCTACTCCTTTGGAAGAGACCACTAAGAAGCTTTGTTGGTCTCTATTGGAACAGCAAGAAGAAACTTTTGTCTGGCAGAAGACGGTTGATTCACAGTGCTACACATCTGGGTAAGGCTAACGAGAAAGCCTATGTCAAGTACTCCCTCTATATTCTGTTTCGTATATCCTTGAAACTACTTTCGACTTTGCTTTATTCAGTTGAAAAAAGTAAAATTTGAAGAATAATAATTTAAATGAAAGTTACAACTGATTGCGGAGTATTGGACTCAGGAATATATTTAGACTAATTTTTGGGTTTAAAAACCTTTTTTCCCCCTCAGTCTTTCTGAAGGGAAAAAAAATACATTTTATAAGATACTTGCCTTTTGTATGTGTGTATGGTCAGCTTTGAAATAATTCACATTTTATTGACCAGTTACTTCTATAAGCTCCACTTCTATCCCTCCCACTCCCACGAAAAAGTAAAGAAGAATAAGCTCTCTCTTCATGTTCAGACTTTGATGTAGATGTCTTCCATTTCTGTTCTATTTTTCAAGTTATGCTTTTACTTTTTCAGTTTTCTTTTTTTCCCAGATGACCTTGTCTAATTGGCTTTTGTTTTTTGATGTAGCAAGCAGGGTATGGTACCACTTTGTAAAGGGGAGGATATGCAACTGTACTACCAGCCACTTGCACGTTGTATATCTGGAACAGGCAGCGATCGATGGGTTCCAATTCATAGCAGATCTAGTTCGCTGAACTCAACTGAGCTTAAAGTTCATGGCAAGTTTATTTGAATAAAATTGGTTTGTCAACTTTACTGTCATCTTCTAATTTCCTGCCATCCGGCTCTTTGTTGTTAACATTCAATCATTGCCTGTGTTTTGCTTTATGGCAGGAGTTCATCCTGACGATTTCTTTGAGGATTCAGGATTCTGGAGATCAGCTGTGAGAAACTATTGGTCTTTGTTGTCACCCTTGATTTTCTCTGACCATCCAAAGAGGCCAGGTGATGACGATCCATTACCTCCATATAATATGGTGCGAAACATCTTGGACATGAATGCTCATTATGGGGGTTTAAACGCCGCATTGTTGGAGGCAAGAAAATCAGTTTGGGTGATGAATGCTGTGCCTCTTGGGGTGCATAACACACTTCCACTCATACTTCATCGAGGTTTTGCTGGTGTTCTGCATAACTGGTAAGACATTAAGTGTTAGACGCATTAAGATTTATGTGCTCTTGGATATTGTGCATAATAGTATCTCAATCTAAAGTATACGGGTTAGCAATTCTCTTGCAGATTATTCTAGTAGAAGAAAATCACAGAGCTGTGTGAATTAAGTAGCAACTATGTATTTATTTTAATGTATGTGATCATAAATTACCTAATGATATTTACATTTTTGGAGTGGATCTGATATAATGTTATGTAATATGTGGAACTCTATTTGTTAGCAAAACTAAAGTCCTTTTTCTGGTGTGCCATATATATATATATATATATATATATATATATACGTATTATGATCTTAGTTTGCATGTTGCATGGATTATTGTCTCTTTAGTTTGCTTGCTTCTTCATCCCTTCCGATTGATGATCAACAGGAATCTGCTGGAACCTGGAGCACATAGCAATAACAGCTGACCCAATACCTAATAGACGAATCATAAAATTATAAAACGATCCTGAAACTTTTCGCCAAGTAATGTACAATTAAGCATCTCCAACATTAATGGTTTCAAAGACTTCATAAGCATAGTATAATTTGTATTATGATTGTGCCTTTTTCTGAGTCTTGAATGTTTTCTTCCATAAACCAATGTTTGTTTGGTCAGTGAGGAGAAGTTGAAGATAAAGGAAGAGTGATAAACAATAAGAACCTTGACATGATCCTCAACAGGATATTTATCTATGATTCTGAGTCATGATTTCCCATGATATTGGTTACAGTAATTTTATGCTTTTAATGTTAGAATATTTGAAGAAATTCTGTTGGAGACTGATATCAGATGTTCTTTTTATTGGGGCAGGTGCGAACCTTTTCCTACATATCCAAGAACATATGATTTGCTCCATGGTAATGGACTTCTGTCACACATTGCTTCACAAGGATGCAGTATAATTGAAGTACTTTTAGAGATGGATCGTATCCTACGGCCTGAGGTAATATTATATTTGCAGTCTGCACAATTAAAATATCATTTGCTTTACTCGTTCGTTAAACTTAAGCTTGCTTTCTTATATATGCTCTATGTTTCCTTTTATGAGACTTGGGATTTGGCATTTAGGCGTAGTTCATTTATTGCTTTATATCTTTCCTGTTGTATTTCACTGAAGAAGGGGAACCTTGGAGCAATAGTAAAGTTGTTTCCGTGTGACCTATGGGTCACGGTTTCGAGCCATGGAAGCAGCCATTAATGCTTCTTGCATTAGGGTAGACTGTCTACATCACACCGTTACAGCGTGCTGCCCTTCCCCAAACCTGCGTGAACGCGGGATGCTTTGTGCACCGGGCTACGCTTTTTTGAATTTAACTGAACACATTCAAATGTGTCACTCAAGTTTGCCCGATTCCTTGCAGTTACTGCATGTTTTAACGTTTGAGTTTGATTCTAAGAACAAATTTATTGACAGGGATGGATTATTCTCTCTGATAAATTGGGCCCAATAGAGAAAGTGCGGATGTTAGCCACACAAATCCGCTGGGAAGCCAGGGTGATTGACCTCCAGAATGGAAGTGACCAACGACTACTCGTATGCCAAAAACCATTCGTGAGAAAGTGATCGATCATCTTGACATGAAACTTCCACGATTAAATGATTGACCAGTCCGTTTGCGCACTGCTAATTCTCCTAAACTTCCAATGGAAAAGAGTAATTAGTATCACATGGTGAAGCGAAGTATTTCTTCACCATTTGTACGCGCGCTGCCCCAAAGGTGGAAATATAATTTTTGGAAGCTGTAGATTTGAGCAAGATTTGGTGGAGTAGAGACAGCACATAAAGAAGATTTTTCCCTTTCATTAGATTTATGCAGCAATTCATTCAGCACTGTTTTTCTTCCTCGTTTTTCAGTTTTTAACGTATCTTATTCAATTGTAATTAAATGGTATTTTAGTGAAGAATCACCTATTCTTGAGAGCAAGAGATTTTGTCACAAAATGTAAGAATCAGTATAAATAATGGTTTCCCGAGATACACCTTGTTTTCTAGCTCTACAGATCAGAATCTATGGGTAATCCTGGGGTCGTGACTAACATTTCACTGCATCTTCATTGCTATATCTATATGACATCGGCAGTTGCTTGACAATTCAGAATCTCTTTTATCATCTTTCACCATTCATTGACTTCCAAGTTATTGGGTTGCTGGTAGAAGCATCTATTCCCAAACTGTTACTCCTCAAGCCAGTTGAGAATATCTTACGGTTTAATCTCTCCTTTCCTTTTCCAGTTGAGCTATACACATCTCGCGGATAAGCGCAAGTACTAAAAGAAAGGGAGCATGCTATACAACTCTAGCTGGCGTTTACTTGGGCCCATTCCAATCTCCCTACTATAGAATTACAATAACAACGCGCCACTTGACTGTTTTTGTTTGTTTGATCAAAGCAGATAAGTAGTGAAAGGGAGCTTTAGCTGCCCCTGCAAAGAATATGCTGCAACCACCGGAATGGCAATTCAACACTAGCTGGCGTTTACTTGGAGCTTTCACCGCATTTTGGCTAAAGATAAAGTCTAAAACTATAGCAGTCATGACTCTGTTGTTCTGTTTCTCCTCCTATCCCTAGTTGCCATTTGCTCCCCATACCTTGCAAATATATCAGCTAGATCAAAGTGCCCAACCTCTCTAAGTTTTTTGCTCATCACCTCAAACATAACCACACCTTCCTCACTGGAATAATAATGCAAAAACTTGTTATAATCAAACCTAGGCACCTCAACTTTTTTGTACAGTAATCTCTCTGCATACTTGGTCGCGTCCAACGTCCTTCCCGCCTTAACCAAACCTCCTACGAAAATGGTGTCGAAATTCACCAGAGGGTCAGATCCTTTCCTCCCTCTCTTACCCAAATGCCCCTGTAACAACATAACATACGTATGCATTATCGGCTCACATCCTCTTTTTATCATCTCCCTAAATACTTCAGTTGCTTCACTTGCTCTTTTCAACTTCAATAGTCCCTTGATCATCCCATGATAAACACTTATGTCAGGCTTCTCCATCCCTTGCACAACACTATACGCTTCCCTAATCCTTCCTCTACTCATAAGCCCATAGGTTATCGATGCTAACGTAAGATTATCGGCTTTAATCCCTCTCTTTTGCATTTCTTCAAACACTACATAACTCTCTCCAAGCTTACCCTTCTTGCACAACCAATTGATCACCAACCTATAAGTAGAAATCCCCAAATCACACATCCTATTTACTCTCATCGATTGAAAAACTTTCAATGCTTCATCATATCTATTATTCTTGAAAAGTGTCTCAATCATAGTCTCAACACATTCAATATCAGGTTCAAAACCTTCATCAACCATCAAATTCCAAATCTTTGAGGCTTCAATCACATCACCAACATCACAAAATCCATATATTAACCATCTATAAGTAACCCCAGTTGGCTTTATCCAATCTTTCAACTTCAACACCACATGCTTAGCCTCCTCAACAAGCTTATTTCTACAAAGAGCCTCAACAACCTTATTCAATATTTCCACACTATACCCATATCCAAAACCATTCATTAAATGAAAAATTTCAACACATTTCTTCAACTCCCTAGCTTCAGCCAGAGTTTTTAACCCAACTATATAAGTTTTAGGGGTGACCAATTGACATCTTCCAATTTCTTGAAGTACTTCCCAGAAAAGATCAATGTTTCTTGATTTTCCAATTACATCTAGCATTTTGTTGAGGGTGGTAGATGTGTGATTGAAGTGGGGCTGTGACTTGGTAAATTCATAGAATTTGTAAAGGGGTCTCCAAGAATATGGGAATTTGTTGCATACTTGAAGGAAGAACTCATGGGTGAGGTCAAATGGTGTTTTACAGAGGTTATTGTGGATTTTTTGGTTAGATGAGTACTGTTGTTGGTAGAGAATTGTACAGACTCTTAAGAGGTGGGTTTCGTTTACTGGTTTGATGGGGTTTGGAGATTGGAGTTGAGGAGTAAATTGGGCTGCGCTGGTGGCTGCTGATGTGGGGATAATTTGGAGATGACGATGGTGTGATAGGAGGAATGTGAAAGACCTGAAAATTTTAGGTTTTAACATTTGTGTCAGAAAATTGTGTAAGGCTGCTTTGTCTCTCTAAAAGTTCAATAGAGGTGTTGTCTTGAAGGAGCACTAAGAAGCGAAAGACTAGAGAGGTGTACATAGGATTAGTCGGTTGCCGGGCACCATTGATATTCATTATTCAATATATGTTTCAAAAACTTATATTTTTTGAAAATATTTGTAAGTATACTTAGAGTTTTTATCGAAATTTTCGGATATCGGTAACCTCTCTTCCTATAGTGTGCATCCACCTCTACACTTGACCCCAAATATTATACTCCCTCCGACCCAATTTATAATGATGTTATTTTTTGTTCCAAAGAGATTATATTTTGATCATGTATATTCATTCAGGGAAAAGGGCCAGATTTGTCCCTCAACTTTAAAATATTGTCTATATTTATCCTTCGTTATACTTTCGGGTCATATATATCCCTATCGTTAACAAAGTATTCAAATTTATCCCTATTGTTAATGGTACTCCAACGTGGCAGTGGGTCCCGCTGTTAAAATGCCACAGTGGACGTCACATGTGTATATTAATTTTTTTATTTTTTGATAAAAAAAATTCAAAGTCTTCTCCTTCGTTGCTTATACCTCCATTACCCTGTGTATTTTGGAAGGGACAGTGAAAAGGCTACAATTTCTAGTTCACATATCAAAACAAAATGAAATTTATTCCTTTGTACTTACATTCACATACGACTGAAATGGTACAACAAACTGTGAAATCACACGACCCATTAGGTGGATCCAGATGAAGAAAGACAATTCTTGGATTGAATAAACAAGAAAGGGAATCGATTTGCTAAACAGGTAACCCAATCGCAAGACGTAAGCTGTAAGGTGAGTGTATTGATTTTTGAATGAAATTTAAGAAAAAATTCACCCAAGATAATAAGAAAGAACCATGTTTTTCTTCTTTTGTATTATTCTTGTATTAAAATGTTCAAAACAATTGAGAAATGCTAAAGTAGAATAGGTTTGTTTACTAGATTAAATTTTATTTTAATGAGTACTCTAAATATTCCCACTTATCTTTCTGCGAGGGATTCTGAGCTTGTAAAAATAATTGATAGAACAGCCAATTTATAGGGTAATGGAGTACGAGTAACGAAAGAGAAGACTTTGAAAAGGTTTTTTTGTTACTTCAACATACACATATGCCATCCATTGTGGCATTTTAACAGCTGGGTCCACTGCCACTTGGAGAACCGTTAAAAAATAAGGGTAAATTTGAATACTTTAATAACGGTGGGGATATATATGGCCCGAAAGTATAACGGAGGTTAAATATAGATAATATTTCAAAGTAGAGGGATATATTTGATCCTTTTCCCTTCATTCAATTATTCAGATCCTCACAAATTATATATAGTACATTAAGAAATGTTTTATATTCAGGTGAATAGAAAAAAAAAAAAGCTTTCTGAAATGGCTATTTTCTCTCTCGGTGCATGTTAGCTTAACCTGCGTCTACCATGGGTAAGAGAGCTCGTATCCCGTCTTAGAAAGCACTAATGGCGAAGGAAGCAGCGGATTCACAGAGTAACGCTCAACGAGGGACTAAAGGAAGGATAGTAACAACTGAAAATTCTGGAAATAAGCAATTGAACCCTAATGTCAATGGAACAGTACCAAAAATTCCGAAAAATGAGAAACTTAAGCAGATTGAAGCAATTCAAGTATGGGATAAAGTCTAGCAAGCGTCAACAAGCAGTAATCCAACGGTGCATGTGAGCAATGGAAGGAAATCATGGGCCGATGAGGTCAATGAGATGAACAAAGTGCAGGGGAAGAAGAGTTTATTGTGGGATAACTTTGATATCACAAAAATATCAAATGCTGGGTACAAATTGGAGTTTGTCCAACCTGAATCAACAGGTGAGTCTACTTTTGTTGAAATTGAGCTGGATGATATTAGTACAGAAATTGATTACTGGGAAAATGCCGTGATCTGCTATGTGCTTGGGGTTCATCCACCGTTTGCTGTAATTCAAGGCTACATACAGAGGCTGTGGGGTAAACATGGCAGAGATAGGATTGCAATCTTAAAAAATGGGGTAATCGTGGTTCGATTTGACACTGCAATAGGAAAATAGGAGGTAATTGAGGGTGGCATCTATCACTTTGACAACAAACCTCTCATTGTCAAAGCTTGGACACCTGATTTGGAGTTCACTCGTGAGGAGCTATTAACAGTACCAATTTGGATCAAATTGCCAGCATTGGACTTCAAATATTGGAGTCCAAAAGGGCTAAGTAAGATAGGGAGTCTGGTTGGTAAACCTCTAATGGTTGACTAGAACACAGAAAAGAGGATTGGGCTGAACTTTGCTCGACTGTTAGTGGAGGTTGAAATGGATGCTAAACTACCTGATGTGCTGATGTTTAGGAATGAGAAGGGCAAGCTAATAGAGCAAAGAGTTAGCTATGACTAGAAGCCAACTCTTTGTACCCATTGCTTAAAGTATGAGCATGAAGAAGGAGTATGCAGACTCAAGAAGAAAGCTCCAAAGAATGAACAAAGAACAGACAACAGATACTCAGGTGGAGAAGCAAGGTGATCATGCCCAACTCTAGTCCTAAAAAGGATAAGCGGTCGCTGCAAATATAATCCGGTCTAAAAGTCCGGAGTCGAATCCCACAGAGAACTAAGGTTTCACTGTAATTGTTCAATATCGCAAAGAAGACAAGTTTGAACAATTTCTAAATTATAATATTAAGATTTTTATATCTAACTAATTAACCAACAAATACTATAAAACGGTAAAATTATCAACTAACGAGACAAAGGTTTGGAGACTAAATTAAGGAGGTCTAGAGTTATGATTTCCCCAATTGTTGATTTCATTAATTGTATGTTTCTTATAGCTTTGACTTAGTTTCCTCTATCAATCATGAACTCTCCAGCTATCATAAATCTCTCTCAAGCAATTATGATAATTTACTAGACGCACTCTCTCAAGCTACGCTAGCTAGATTCACATTACAGTTCACATAGATCGCACCCGAGGTATCGTTATCTCTAATCCAACCTCTAACCCTCGGTTATGACTCTCGCCTATACTCCGGGAGTGATGTTGTTCAAACAACTACCTAAATATGCACTCTCTCTCAAGCAGATACATAATAAATAGGAACGGCTAATTGAGGATCCTTTCAATTAACCACAATCAAAACGTAGTTGAACAAATAGAGATAAACAACCAATTCAAAACTATATTAATATAACAACCAATTCATCCCCAAAAGGTTCCATCAAAACCCTAGAAAATGAATTAGCTATTCATAATAGTATGTAAAACTATAATACTAAAAATCATAACTAACAATGAAAAAATAGGAAGAAGAAGGGGAAAAACTCGTAGTTGAATCTTCCTCCTTGCTCCTAGCGTGTTCTTGCCTCCAAGGGTGTTGTCTAACCCTAAAGTAGTGTCTCCTCCTTCAAAGTGGTGTTTTAGGATGTATTTATATGACCTAGGGTTGATGAGGGGCGGAATTCTTCAATCCAACTTCGGATGGGAGAGCTGGAATCCGCGTCTTCGCGTCTAGACGCGGACTTTGACGCGGATCCGCGTTTGCCTTCGCGTCTAGACGCGGACTTTGACCGGATCCAGCTTTTGAAATTCTTCCATTTCGCGAAGCGCTCCGTGCCTTTGCTTTGCTTCGCTATTTTGTGCCTTAACTTTTCTCCTTTTTCGCGTCCGGCTTCGCGCCACGCACGAGAATAGACGAGCTCCCACTCCTTTAATTTCTTCTTTTTGTGTCGAATTGTCATCTTTTGATCATTTATCATCCAAACTCGTTCCTACACATAAGAAATACATAATGAGAATATTTCACTTTGAAAATCATGTAATCTCCCGCGACACACACAAGAATTAATATGTAAATATACTCAAAAATATGCACTTTTCATCATTTATCACAAGGTCAAGTGCAAAGTGAGAAGAACCATGAAGCTCAGAAAACAAATGTAAATGCCATATGGATTACTACAGGAAAAGGAGCTCTAGGGAAAACACAACAATATGTAGCAAAGGAGCAGGGGGTAACAAAGGAAAGAAATGCAGAACAAGGTTGGCAAACACCTAATAAATATGGCAAGACTGTAGTAAGGTAGAAGGAACAAATGGAGAAATCCAATTCATTCCAGATTCTTAATAAGCAGGAGGGCCTCAATCTGTCCAAGGATGTGGGAGAAGGAAGTAGTGTGTGTGGTCTAATTATCCCTCATAATGGGGATGGTTAGTCTACTAAGTTGGAACACTAGGGGGCTTAATGCTCCTAATAAGCAAAAAGAGATTAAGCTCCTTTGCAATGAGGAAAGAGTAGGTTTAATAGGCCTGCTGGAAACAAAAATTAAAAAAGAAAGGATGGATCAGTTAGCAGAAAAGATGTTTGCTGGATGGAAGTTTGTAACAGATCTTGAGTGTCATTACAATGGGAGAATCTGGATCACCTGGAGGCCAGATTACTACCAGATAATACCTAGGCAAAAGACTGCTCAACTAATAACATGTGAAGTATTGTATGTTCCTCTCCAACTATCATTTGAGGTAACCTATGTATATGCTTTTAATACAAAAGATGAGAGGAAGGGACTGTGGGAAGATTTAATTACTCACGGTAGAGGATGTAGTAAACTATGGATGGTAATAGGTGATTTTAATTCAGTTCTGAATGCAGAGGATAGAATAGGAGGAAATGAAGTGACATGGGCTGAAGTGGTGGACTTCTATAATTGTGTAGTGGAGTGTGGAATGATGGAATTACCTGCACAAGAAAATAGATACACTTGGAGTGATAAACATGAAGAGCATAGAATCTTCTCAAAAATTGATTGGATTTTTATTAATGAGCAATGGTTTGATACCATGCCAGAATGCAATGCCAGATTTCTAACAGAAGGGATTAGTGATCATTGTCCTGCAAAGGTGACTTTTGTAGAGGAGAGGCAGAGGAGTAGGAGATCATTTCAATTTTGTAATGTGTGGACTCAAGATCCACAATTGATGAGCATAGTCAAAGAGGGTTGGAACAATAATGTGGAAGAGTGCAAAATGTTTACAGTAGTAAAAAGACTGAAGGTGTTAAAGAGGGGATTGAAAACTTTAAACACACAGGTTCATAACATAGTGACATAAGCAAATGAGGATAGAAACACACTAAAGCAGATCCAAGTTCAACTGCAAAGATGTCCTACTAATTTGGAATATCAACAAGCTGAAATTAGTGCATATCAAAAGTTCAGGTGGTCATCTTACCTAGCTGAAGTGTACTTACAACAAAGGAGTAAAGCAACATGGATTATATTGGGAGATGATAACACCAAATACTTCCACTCAGTAATCAAGCAAAGGAAACTGAAGCAGGCAATTACTCAGCTCAAGGACAGCTCTGGTCTTTGGCAAACAGATCCTGATACAATTGCTGGTATGTTTGTTGATTATTATGAAAATTTACTAGGGAGGAAAGCAACTGAAAGGGTGAAAGCTTTTAGTAGTATAATCAGAAATAGGAACAGGCTATCAGAAGCTCAACAACAAGAAATAATGTAACCTTTTTTGGAAAGAGAAGTAAAGCAGGCTATGTTTCAGATTGACAATAATAAGAGTCCTGGTCCTGATGGATTTCGGAGTGGATTTTACAAAGCAGCATGGCCAATAGTGGGAAGAGATATCACTGCAGCAGTCCTGGAGTTTTTTCAGAATGGCAACATGCTCAGGCAAATAAATGCCACCAATATTGCCTTGATACCTAAAGTGGAAGCTCCAGAAAATGCAGGCCAATACAGGCCTATCTCCTGCTGTAATGTTCTATATAAGTGTATATCTAAAATGATCTGTTCCAGGTTAAAGGCAGCAGTCAGTCATATAGTAGCAGATAATCAGTCAGCTTTTGTACAAGGAAGGTTCATGATGCACAATGTGTTAATATACCATAACTTACTAAGGCACTACAATAGGAGGACAACTCCTAGATGCTTAATGAAAATAGACCTTAGAAAGGCATATGATATGGTGAGCTGGGAGTTTTTGGAGGAAGCTCTAAGAGGGTATGGATTCCTAGATAAGTTTATACATTGGATCATGGTATGTGTTTCTACTATTATGTTCACAGTAAAAGTTAATGGTGAGGGACATGGTTACTTTGCTGGAAAGAGAGAGTTGAGGCAAAGAGATCCTATTTCTCCACTGCTGTTTGTTCTTGTAATGGAATATCTTTCTAGAACTTTAAGGACAATCAGTAGACTACCTGATTTCAGGTTCCATCCAATGTGCAAAGAGACCAAGCTGACACATCTCATATTTGCTGATGATTTGATGATATTCTACAAGGGAAATACTAGCTCAGTAAATAGAGTAATGGAAGCCCTTGATCACTTCAGTAAAATCTGGTTTGATTGCCAATATGGAAAAATCTAGCATATTTGTACCTAGGGTTGGAGATGATATCAAAGATCAACTGTTGGGAAGAACAGGTTTCACAGCTGGAACATTTCCTATCAAATACTTGGGACTGCCTTTATCTCCTAGGAAATGGAACAAGATGGATTGTCAAATGTTGATTGGGAAGATCACTCATAGAATCAATGTTACATATTCTAAGCAATTGTGTCACGACCCAATTCCCAACCTGGTCGTGATGGCGCCTCTCTTGAAGACAAGGCCAGCCAACTAACCCAAATCCTTTCACTAACAATTATCAAACATAAATAAATAGAAGATACAACTTAATGGCATTTAAAATTTGTTAATTTCTACCCGACCGGGGTGTCACAAGTCACGAGCATCTAAAGAAAAACCTGAACACAACTACAGGGCCAATAATAATATATATGGAAAATTCTGGAAAATCAAAGACAACATCCGGTGCCGCGAACGCTGGCGGTCACCTTACTCAGCTACAATAGCCATACCTTCAATCAGCTAAATAACCCGCTACCGGGTGTACAATACCTGCAACTGCACGCGAGGTGCAGGGAGTAAAGTGAGTACTTCCAACTCAGTGGTAATAAGAGTAAATAATAACTGAGCGGTAAGAAATCACGTAAAAGCACTCCATCATGCTATATAAGACAGTGCAAATCTTTGAGAAAAACAGTAAAACCGTGAAGATCCTTTAGAAAATATCTGACTCAGTTTAAAACCTCTTTTGAAAACCTCTTTTTCTCAACAATCAAGCAAATGAATGCATAATCAGATAGTGCAAGTCCGCACATAAGTCAGCCCCTTTGGCACAGCACTCCACAAACAGTTAATACCAGGGCGTCTGGTAACAGTACAAGAAATAGCATGGATGCCAATGATATGAGAGTGTTGAATGTCATGACACGTAGTACAATCAGGAAACAATGCATGAATGCAATGCAATGCACATGACCGCTGCGGCGCGCAGCCCGATCCATTTGGGTACCCGCGCTCACTGTGGGGGTTCAGACTCCGGGGGGGGGCTCCTACAGCCCAAGCGCAATATCATCATAGTATCGCTGCGGCGTGCAGCCCGATCCATCATCAGTCCAGAACATGCAAATGAGCCACTCGGGCAGTGTCAAGTAATAGCTTTTAACTCAAAACATCAGAAAAATGCAATTTAAGTCTTTAAACTTTAGCAATATGACTGCACATTTCAAAACAGGGTTTAACTCAGGACTGAAATCATTTAATATGCTAAGTGTCATGAAAACAGTGATAATAATCCCTAAAGGATTCAAATAATCGGCACGAAGCCCAAAACATGGCAATCAACAAATCACGATAGCATCAAGTAGGTTTCAGTCAATTACGCAGTAAAATCAACAACCGGGACGGACCAAGTCACAATCCCCAACGGTGCTCTACCCCACGCTCATACCTGGCGTGCAAGTCACCACAATACAACACTATGATGTGCAAATCCGGGGTTTCAAACCCTCAGGATATCATTTACAAGTATTACTCACCTCGAACCGGTGAAATCCCTAGCTCGCGACGCCTTTGCCCCTCGAATCGGCCTCCACGCGCGTCGAATCTAACCAAAATTAGAGCGAATACATTATAATATGCAAGGGAACAATACCCAATCGAAAACAATCGAAAATTAGCAAGAATCTCGAAACTAGCAAAACTCGAGCCCCAGGCCCGCTTCTCGAAAAATTACGAAATTCACATCACCGGATTCCTCGTCTCGCCAGGAGTCCATACATATAAAGTTCACCAAAATCGGAGTTCGTTTGACCCTCCAAATTCTATTTTTACATCAAAATTCTCAAACCCTAACTTACCCCATTTTTACCCTTTAATTCCTTGGGTTTTCAGTGTTAATTCATGTTTATACACAATAATAACATAATCTAAGCCCAAGAATCCATACCTGATGATAGCCCTCGAAACCCTCTTCAAAATCGCCCAAAATCTCCTTAGTCCGAAGTCCAAAATGTTGTTCTTTCAAAAATTCGCGAAGATGATTAATTTCACTTAACTGCCAGGCATTTCGCTTCTGCGGATCCAGTACCGCTTTTGCGGCTTCCGCTTATGCGGTCAACGTACGCTTTTGCGGACCTTTCACTTAAGGCAACCTTCCGCTTCTGCGGTCCCCAATCGCATCTGCGGGACCGCTGAAGCGATCCAATGTTCCGCTTCTGCGGAACCTGACCAGGGTTCCAAATTCCGCTCCTGCGAGGCCGCCTATGCGGTCCTCCTTCCGCTCCTGCGAAATCTGGCAAGGGCCAAGACTTCCGCTTCTGCGCATCTTCCAATCGCTTCAGCGAGACCGCACCTGCGGTCCCATAACCGCAGGTGCGAAACCAACAGATACCAGCAAGGTTGAACCTGCAATTAACTCCAAAAATCTTCCGTTTAACCACCCGAATTCACCCCGAGGCCCCCGGGACCTCAACCAAAAACACCAACACATCCTAATACCTTATTCAAACTTGTTCCAATCCTCAAAACACTTCAAACAACGCTAAAACCATCAAATCACATCGGATTCAAGCCTAAGTTTCTTAAAAACTTCCGAATTACGCATTCGATCAAAAACCCGACCCAAACGATGTCCGAATGACTTGAAATTTTACACACATATCTAAAATCACCTAACGGAGCTATAGCAACTCTCGGAATTCCATTCCGACGCTCGGATCAAAATCTCACCTATCAACCGGAATTCGCCAAAATACTAACTTCGCCAATTCAAGCCTAATTCTACACCGGACCTCCAAAATCAATTCTGATCGCACTCCTAAGTCACAAATCATTTCCCGAAGCTAACCGAATCACCGGAAATCACATCCGAGCCTTCTAACTCATAAGTCAACGTCCGGTTGACTTTTCCAACTTAGGCCTTCCTTAAAGAGACTAAGTGTCTCATTTCTTATCAAAACCAATTCAAATCAACTCTAACACACCACATACTGATAACGAAACATAAAGAAGCATAAAATGGGAGAAACAAAGCAGTACCACATGAGACGACGGGTCGGGTCGTCACAAATTGTCATATGCAGGAAGGCTTCAAATAGTTAATGTTGTGCTCTTCTCTATACATAGCTTCTGGGGGAATATTTTCATCTTACCACAAAGTGTGGTGAAAGGAGTAGATAGGCTATGTAGGGAGTATTTGTAGGGGAAAAGGAGGGACAGAAGAAAGCGGCTCTGGTTGCATTGGATAAGGTGTGTTGTCCAAAGAACTTGGGGGGTCTAAATATCAAAGCTTGTAAGGAATGGAATATAGCCTCAGTAGGTAAACTAATATGGCAGCTGGTTTTGAATAAGGAATCACTATGGGTAAGGTGGGTTCATGGGGTATATATGAAGTCTGATCATGACATATGGGCTCATACACCTCCTTTAGGTAGTAGTTGGTATTGGAGAAGGCTAAACTCAACTAAAGAACTGATGAAGGAATGGTACTCCCAGGGCAGATATACATTAACTCCAGAAGGGAGTTACTCAACTACTCAAAGCTATCTTGCAATAATTGATCGACAACAGAAGCTGAAGGTTGCAGATTTAATCTGGACAGCTGTACCACAGCCTAAAGACATGTTTATTGGTTGGCTCGCAACACTTGGGAGGCTGCTAACTAAGGACAGAATGATTGGGATGCAATTACAAATTGAAAATATTAACAGTAATTTGTGTAATGAGGACACACTGGAATCACAGGACCACCTGTTTGTTAAATGTAGCTGGATCAATGCACTAAGGCAAGAGTTAAATCTGTGGCTAGGGCAGGTAGTGCAAATTACAGGAATCAAACAAATGCTGGAGCAGATCAAAATGAAGCATTGGAAGCAATTCAAAAAGGAAGTGATAGCTGCAGTGAATATAACAGTGATATACCATACATGGAGAGCTAGGAACGTAAAAAAATTTCAAGGAAGAACTGTAAAGAGAGCAGAGGTAGTTACACAAATTAAGAGAGAAGTGATAGAAATGATAGAATAACTTCAGCAGTCAAAGAAAGCATAGAAATGTAGAAGTTTAGTTAGACAAATTACTTGTAATTAGTCATTTTTTTACCTGTTTGTTGGAGGCCTAAAAGTCTGTGTCAGATAATTAGGTGCTCTATAAGTGTAATTGTTTGATGATGTCAATAGTAATATTCACATTGCTACCAAAAAGATCTATAACTCAAAATAGAAATAAATCTATCAACCATCAACTTAAATAGTAGATGCGCATAAAACAGTATAATAAAAAAATAATTTGTATCTTAGTTCTTTGATAGTGTTAATAACTAAAGTATGTTTGGTCAAAGCTTGTGTCTGATCAAATTTTTGGAATGAAAAAAAATGTGATTGAATAGAAGCAAAAGCTGTTTATTTTTGAGAAGCTGAAAAAATAGGTTCTTCCTAAAAACTGAAGCAAAAGTTGTTTTAATTATCCTTTTGGCAAACATACCCCTGACAAAAAATTTATATATACCAAAATAACTTTACTCAATTTAACAGATCCGACTCCTCTCCATTTTTCATAATCTCCATTTCCCCAAGTCCCTATATAGATAGATGACACATGACACCTTTATCATTAATGGTGTAGATTTGATTATCTAAAGATTGGTCTTAACCATGGTTAGTAATAGAGAGTATTAATATATATAATATTCAAAAAAAAAATTATATTGCCCAAAATTACTCCAAAAATAGCAACGAAAATCCTGCTGCATATACAATTATACAGATTCTTGCCATGGATATTATGTTTTTGAGAGATCATTGTTACAGCAATATTCAACAAAAAGGAAACACCCTAAAGTTAAGCTCTAGAAGAGGAAAAAACAGAGAACAAATAATTTAGACATTGAAGTTTTATTGTTACTGGAAATAAATTGACTGTACACCTCAGATTCTTCTTAAGTTGCAAAGACTTGGTATGTAATATCAGTTTAAAGATGAGATGAAGAGAATTTTAAAATTACTTATATCAGTAAACTTTTTTTCCAAAAAACAAATTACTGAGGAATTATATACCATGACGCTCCAGTTTCGAACCCTCAGAGAAGAAGGCAATCAATTTATCAAGCCCCTCACCCGTCAGTCGTCACTCCAAAAGGCAGCGAATTAAAAAGGCAAAATATATCAAAAGGTGTACATTTATCAATAAATAAGTTTATATTATTTATTTATTATACGTAAGTTTGTATCTTGTTCATGTTTATGTCTGGTTGCAACACTTTCTTTTTTTTTTTTTTGGAAAAAAAAAAACTTACATGTACTTCTTTCATTAATGAAAGTCGAATGGGGATTTACATTTCTTCGGAAAAAGTTTCTTTTTAAAATCTTGACTATTTCAAAAAGCAAGTGGTAATATAAAATTGAAATAAAAACTTAGTAGCAAACGGAACTGGCAGATGAGAATAATTTGACATTACTTATAAATTCTGAAAATATAGTTAAAGTTCTTTTTATTTTGCTAGAATTGTGGGATTTCCACAAATTTTCGGGAGCAAATGGAAATACTATTATTCTAACCATGATTTAGACCTATCTTTTGTAAATTAAATCTGAACCATTAATATCAAAAAGTGACATGTGCCATCCATCCAAGTAGGAACTTGGAAAAATGGAGACAATAGAAAATAGAGAGGAGTTGAATCCCAATGGAACCTAATATTTAGCTAGTCTTGATATATTAAAATCGTCTTAAAATAATAAAGTATTTTTCAATTTTATTTTCATATTTTAGGTGTATCAAGTTGTTGAGCCATACGATGAAATTTTGGGAGAGGGTGAAAGAAGAGAGGATAAGAAGGAGTGTGTCCATTTCCGCGAACCAGTTTGATTTCATGTCGGGTCGGTCGACTACTGAAGCCATTCACCTTGTGAGGAGATTGGTGAAGCAGTATAAGGCGATGAAGAACGACTTGCATATGGTGTTCATTGACGTAGAGAAAGCTTATGACAAAGTCCCGAGAGAAGTTCTTTGGAGATGTTTGGAGGCTAAGGGAGTGCTAGTAGCATATACTCGAGTTATCCAGGACATGTATGATGGAGCTAAGACACAGGTAAGGACACCAGGAGGGGACTCTGAATACTTTCCGGTTGAGATGGGGTTGCATCAGGGATCTGCACTTAGCCCATTTTTTCTTTTCGTTGGCAATGGACACATTGACACGACACATTCAAGGGGAGGTGCCTTAGTGCATGATATTTGCAGATAACATAGTTCTGATTGATGAGACGCTTGGTGGTGTTAACGAGAGGCTGAAGGTTTGTAGACATACCCTTAGTGTTAGACCAACTATGTTGTATGGGGTAGAGTGCTGGCCAGTTAAGAACTCTCATGTCCAGCAGATGAAAGTAGCGGAGATGAGGATGTTGAGATGGATGTGTGGGTACACGAGGAATGAAGTTATTAGGGACAAGGTAGGAGTGGCCCCTGTGGAGGAAAGATGCGAGAGGCGAGGCTGAGATGGTTCGAGCATGTTAAGAGGAGAAACACGGATGCCCCGGTCAGGAGGCATGAGAGGTTGGCTATGGGGGGTAAGAGGAAAAGTAGAGGTAGGCCGAAGAAGTCTTGGGGAGAGGTGATCAGACGGGACATGGCGTAACTTGAGCTTACTGAGGACATGACCCTTGATAGGAGGGTGTGGAGGTTGAGAATTAGGGTAGAAGGTTAGTATTAGTGTTAGTATGGTATCCCTTTCACCCTTAGTTTGTTATTTCCACATATCTTGTATTATTAGTACTTGCCATCAGTATCCCTTTAGTTTGATCTCATTATATATCTTGTCCTGTTATTACTTGTGATAAGTACTTCTTTCATCTTCCCCTTTGTTATCTTGGATTTAGTTTTCTAAATATCCATATTGTTATTACTTGCTATCAGTGCTTCTTACATCTTCTCTTTAGCTGAGAGTCTTCCGGAAACAGCCTCTCTGCTCTTCCAATGTAGGGGTAAGGCTACGTACATCCTACTCTCCCCAGACCCCACTTGTGAGAATACACTAGGATGTTGTTGTTTTTGTTGTTGTTGTACTTAAATAAATAAAAAAGTTTAATGTAGTCTTTTCCTGACCTTATTCAAAAGCATTTTTTAAAAAGCTTGGTCAAAAATTAAATTGTTGTGCAAAAGCGCTTTTTAAATTGATTAGCCAAACGCAAATAAATTCAAAAGTACTTTTCTGAAAATTACTTTTTAAAATAGGCTGATTTTAAAGCTTGGCCAAACGGGCTATGTATCAATACTCCATAGCAATTCCATCTTTTCTCAAACCACAAATTTCCTATTACGATTTATGTAATTCACACCGCATGCACATGTCCATCTAGAGTTTGAAGATCTAATAAATAAATGTCAACCTTGAGTGTATTATTAGCATGTTTGTAAAGTAACGAAAACTATGCATCAATGTACTGTCACTATTTAAATGTATTTTTTAAGTTGTTTTGATATTGTAGTATCCATAGTGTTGAAATCTTTTGAGGGTTGAACTTTTGAATGTTACACTGTATATCCTTAGGAGTAACATATAGCCCAATCCTTTTAGACGTGAACCATGTTCGCCACTAAGAAGTTTGAAGAAAGAATCCTTGATGCCAAGTTCATTCCAAGTAGAATGAATCAGCCAATTTACCCAAGGGATTAAATCTGACCAGCTCTTTTTCTTCTTTTTTTTTTTTTTTTTTTTGTTTTTTTATGACGTTAGTATATAAGCCAGCTAGCGTGCACTCGGTTAATTTCATTAAATACCTACCTCCTAGCAGCACTAGTACCAAATTACTATGTCCATCAAAATTTTGACAGATGGGAAGAAGAACTAACGTACTTAGTAATATTTTTGTCTCCGCTAGGATTTCAACAGACCAGCTATTTTATGGTATAAATAAACTCTCTAGTCGAGTTTGTCCAGTGCATTCTGCAACAATCTAAAGTCCATCATGCCATGGTTTTGCCAGAGAATTTCTTAGGCTTCTTTCCTAATGACAGATTACTCTTCCTGCCTAAGAGTAGTTAGTGCATATAAGCAACTATCTGAATTAATCCCAATCGAAATTTAACAAGAGGTCAAGAAGTTCTAAACAACATTAAATTGATCATCATTAGACCTGTTTATGAGAGTGGCATTTATGTCTTAGATTGGCACACTGACTTGTGTAAGAACATATTCAAATGTAGAAAAAGAATAAATACAACTACTCTATTTCAGAGACTTATTAGGTAAAAAAAAATGCTACTATGGGAAATTAAAAAGCAATTATCATCAGGAAAAATTATCTAGTAAGAATAGACTGCCTACTTAGGAGATCCGCTAAAAGTTTTACTCTGCTGAAAATGACATAACAGATAAAAAAAAAAAGGCCTTATATACTTTACTACTATACATAAACGCCATAGATGCAGCCGAAAACTTGCATTATTTCCAAACTCTGTCATTCAAGATTCTTCCTTCAAGAAATAACTTTGTGGCAAGCAGAAATCTTCCTCTTGATTCAGGATTTCTGCATCCTCATCATCTGGTTTCTGAAATTACGAGCCAAGCATGAGAGTGGCAACGGTTATTAGTCACAACGATAAACTTTTGAGGCAGCATGAGATACTTGTCAACTATGACTAAACCTCTAGATTCTAACAGAGTGACTCAACAAGTGTAGAATAGGCTTTAAGATGAGCACAATCAATACATCAACTTCAGCAATTTCGTAAAGCTTGCCCACTGCAGAGTCCTAAGTTAGACGCTAAGCAAAACGAACTCTTTTTAGGACAGAAAAGCACAAAATATCATAAAACTTAAGATTATAGAACATACCATCATTTCCAAGTTATAGAAGCGATCCAGCAGCTGCAACACGTCATCAGGAGTAAATTGCCGGTTGAAGCTGTGGCAGTAAGTTTTTCCAGTGTCAAATGACAAAGATAAGGTCACGTTAGGATTCAAAGAAAGAACACCTCTCCCACACTCTTTTTAGTGTGTGGTGTGCGGTCTTGAGTAGGTTGCTTAAGCGTCCGCTTTTTCTCTTTTTAATTTTTTTTCCCTTCGGGTAGTGCAGACAATTCCTAGCTCATGTAAAACTAGTCAAATCTAGAGATAAACAAAAGAAAACAGAGAAAAGTATAGTTAACTAAACCTTCTCTGCAGGTATTCTGTTAAGCTGTAAAGGACAAAGTGACGATGCATGCCTGCCAGAGAAAGCAAGGTGAGCATGTTAAATATCTATTACGGATAGCAGAATGCAAATTTCACGTGAGCCACTCTATCCTTTATACTCTCGTTCGTACACATCTTCTCTTTGTTTCCCGGGGGAACCATATCACATCCCGGATCTGATGAAATAGGATGAATTGAGACGGTATTTTGATAATATATGTACATATAGATATTTTATCCACATAGTGAATAATTTCGGAATTAAATCAAAAAGATGGCGAAAGTCCAGTAGCCGAAAGCATCACTAGCTTATGCTCTGACCCTTATGGGGTGGAAAAGACATCAAACTATCATTCCATTTGAAGAACACGCCAATCACCCTTTCCTCCGCTAAAAAATACACACACACACACATACACTACAAATCTTCAAAGAGCAATTAAATTCAAGTGTGTGCTCATGGTTGACACTACCTTTTCTTTATCGTAATAATTTGGCAATGTGTCTTACAATCAAAATTGATACAGCATCCAATATTTTGACATACATGATGCAAATACATTGACTTCCTTAGCTATCACATTCTCTCTTAGTTATAACTTTACATTGCTATCACATTCACTCTTGGTTGAATAAGGTAGTCTCGTAGCCAAACAAACTAGATCTATGAAAGACTAGGTATAGAGTGAGAATTGCAATGAATTAACTTATGACATCAAAACCATTACTTGACTTTCAAGTAAACAATTCAGCTGAATATTACACCATAGGCTAGGATTATGTTAAGAAGTGCAATTTAACTACGACGTTTCAAGCTCAAACTGTTGTATAAATCAAAAACAAATTAAGCCTTTGAAGCCATCAAGCACCTTATTGATGACTTGTTTCATACACACAAGCACTTAGACGAGTACTTATGTTTTTAGTCAACATTCTACTTAATAGAAATGAAGTGTTCAAAATTATACCTCAAATTTGTATAAACCATATTCAAATGTATATCATTATGAATTTCTACTTTTATTTTGATAATCGAGAAATTCACAACGGCAAATGGTGCATGGTTAGAAACGCGGCAGATAATGAGTCCACCCTTTTACTCTTCTCCACTTAAATACCAAGTTTTTGTCTGCTACAAGGTTTGAACCTGACATGTGCCTAACCCACACATCAAGTGTTGCGCTCTTACCACTAGACTAAGCCTTGGGGCTTATGAGTTTCTAGTTTTTACCTAGTCATAAACTTTGCCAAAGTTACCACCTTTTGGCTTAAACAACAGTAAATACATCGACGGATAAAGAGTTTAGGACATCTCCAACCCTTGTACTACTTTTTTTACACCAAATGGTGTAAACATCAAAATGATGCAAAATAACTCCAACCCGTTACACTATTTTTTACACCAAAAAAGAATATTCCTTTTATACTCTTCTCTCTCTTCTATATTATATTATTTTCTTTATGAAACAAATCCTTCCTTCTTTCTTATTTACATATTTATCCCATATAATTCATATTTCTTTCTTATATAACCATTTAATATAAAATTATTTTATACCTTTAATTTTTTGAATAATATAACTTACAAGCAAATATTATACATTTTACATATTAATGTATAACTCAAATAAAACTGAAATCATTGATGAGATATAATTAAATAAATACGAAGTTCAAAATGAGCATACACTCAATATTTTAATGATATTAGTGGATCTGGAAGCGGCCTTCCAAAATACTAGATTATTGTTGTAATTTTTTCATCCCATTATGTTATTTAATGTGTTTTTAATTTAATCTATGTCAGTCGCTATTGTGTTAAATATTTGTTTTTATGATAATCAACGAACATTGTGTCATTTATTAACAACATATTGTATTTCAGTTTTGCACTTTTCATTTTTTTGATGGTTATATATTTTTATACAATTATAACATAATAAACTTAAATTACAATTTTATATAATAATAAAATATACGAAAATTAATTTATAAAAATTATACACCAAAATTAAAATATAAAATTAATATTATAAAGATATTATATAAAAATTATAATTAATTATAATATGTTAAATTAAAAGTGTATATAATAAAAGATAATATTAAAATAATGGTGAATAGTAATGATGTTGATGAATAGTGTTACACCAAATTTCAAAATGGAGTAATAAGAAAAGATGTTGGGTTGGAGCAAAAAACGCCAAATCTTACACTAAAATGGTGTTTGGCGTCAAAATTGGTGTTTGGGTTGGAGATGGTCAAAATGAAGTGAATAATTCAACAAACAAACTGAAATACCACTTAATTTGGAGAGAGGATAGGTTTCAAGAGCCTCCAACAACCTTATCTCCAAATCCACCGGCGATAGCTCCTATTTTTCATACCAAAAGTACCCAGAAAAGAAAAGAGTCATACTAATATTTTGTATAATTCGACACAGAAATACATATGTACACTGTACAGAAAAAGAATTGAAAAAAATACTCACCCTCCATCACGTTTTAGAAACTATTACTATTGAACAAAACGAATTTTAAATACTTCTTGTATTTTCTATTTATGAAAGATTGGAGTTTGCAAATATTCAAAACTTTAAATGTTTGCTTACGAAGAGATAATATGAAACAAACGAAGAAAAGGGCACCTTACGAAGAGCGGAAGAAGAAGGTTTACAAGGGGAATGTACGGACATGCCATCTTCTTCTGTACCTTTATCATTAGCGCCACTCTTTTGCCCCATTTTTAAATCTTGATTTTCCAAAAAGCTCTCTGATTTGCTCTACAATACTTGGTGTGTCTGTGTGAGAGAGATTTTTCAATTATTTTTAAATTTAAGGTATTGTTTTATAGATTTACCTATTATAAATTGTTGGGAGCTTTTTGATTAGTTTATGAGAATTGCTGGGGATGAAATCCGATCTGAAATTTTGTCGTTTCGGGCTCTGGGTGTAAATTCTGACATCAATTTGTAATTTTTTAAAAATTTTAAGGTTTCCATATTTAAAATTGCATGAGAATTTATGATGACTCACACTAGTTAGGAAGATATTACTTTACTACTATTAATAAGCGAGAACCGAGAGGAGCTTCCGGTTCATGTGAATTGACCAAAAAAACCATGAAATCTCACTTTATCCTTTTGTTTGTCCTAATATAAATTGAGGTGCATCCGGTTATATTTTGGGTTTGGAGAGGGGTACTTTGAAAATTTTAGTGCTTTGTGCTTCTTCTGTGGCTTGAAAGGGCAGCTGTTATATCAAACTTCAACCCTGATTTGGTCTGTTATTACTTGAGTTGCCATCCTACATTTTGGTAATTAAGGCAACTTCGCAGACCCTTAAAAGTGTAACAAAATGTCATCCTATCACCTTTTGCCTTGCATGTGACGTGAAGTGAGAGTCTACGTGGCCTGCAAATATTTTATTTCTGTTCTTTCATCTTCCCATGTTAAGTTATTTCTCCATTTCATTTTTTTTAATTTCTTCTTTTGAGAGTTAAATAAGACCAATTGCATGGGTTTTAGAATTATTAAACTGGCATAAATAGTTTCCGTTTTATTTTTTGCTTTCAAATAGGTTTTTTACCGTCTCTCCCTCTAAAAATTTATCNTTGGAGTAGTTGATAAGCACTAAGTGCTGAAAAACACTTTCAAGTGCTGAAACTGATTTAAAAAATAAGTAATTATGTGTTTTGATAAAAGTGCTGAAATTAATAATATGCAGCTGAAGAATAGGGTATACGAAAAATTTTGTTTTAAAAAGAAGTATTTTAGGGATAGAATAGTAAATATTTTGGTCAAACTTAAAGTGCTTATAAGCTGAAATTTGATAAGCTGGAGAGACAAACTTATGACTTTTGGCTTATAAGCACTTTTAATTTTACCAAACGCGTAGATAAGCCAAAAAAGGTTTATAAGCCAGTTTGACCGGCTTATAAGTTTAGCCAAACACCCTCTTAATATTTTAAAAATTAAGAAGCCGTTTTCTGCTCTCTTCAAAAAATTGTGTTGCATTTCCCAGCAATAGCCGTTGAAACCACCATTAAAATTACTAAAGGCATGGGAGAATATTAGAATTAAGATAAAAAATAAAATTAGCAGCAAGGGCTAAGAACGCAGTAATATCTAGGCTATTCATGATAATGCTTTTAATGGGATGCGCTTTTATTTTCATACGATGACAACTTGACTTTTATTACGTTCCCAATAATGTTTAGATGGAAAGTACATAAATTAATTATATTATATTTTTTATTATTAAACATAATTAGTTTGATTTGCAAAATTTTTAATAAATGAAGAATTTTAAATCGATGGTCTTAAACATTTAATAATTTGTGTGGCTATAAGATTTTTGAAATGCATGATGGTAAATATGTCATAACATTTCTATCATTAAAGGCAAAATACTAAGTTTAAGTTAAATTAAATTTAAATTTAAATTATTTTTTTGGGGAACTGACTAAAAAGAAAATAGGTTCAAATAAATTAATAAAGAGCGAACATGTAGAATCAAATTGGAATAGGTGAAACAGATAAGTACTATTTGAATATTATCATTTGTAGTTTGTTTGAAAGTGGTGGTAAAGGTGAGGTGAATCGTCGAGAATAAAGATAGTGGTAGAGAGGATGGTGAAATATAAAATATAAAAAGACAGATGAAATGCTTAAAATAATATATATAATTAAAATTTTAATAATGTGTTATAGAAAATCTGACGTGGAATTTGATATGCCATCCATGTCACGCCATTGACGAACATTTTGTCTTAATATTCTATTTAATATTAAAAATAAAACCAAACAGAATATCATCAATTACTATAATCAAGCATAATACAAATTTTTCATAAAATGCTAATCCCTAAATTATTACTGTGCCATTTCAAATTAAAATATTAAGTAATTTTTATTAATTGTTATTAAGCTATTCTCATTTACAAAAAGCTGACTTGACTCAAAATACTAATAGTAATTTTATGTTTTTTTTAATATATAACAAGAAAAGAGTAATTTGATAAGGAAATAACACATACTCAAATTAGAAATTACGATATTACTGTTCAAACTGTAATAATTTTACCATTTGTTTTCATGACTATTTTCAATGTCAAATAAACATTTTAAGGTGCAATTGCTCAAACATCTGTCTATAATTCAAGCACTTAATGAGAAAAGTCTATAAAAAGAAAGAGCAGAGAATTGGTATCTCTTTTAAAAATATTTGTTTCGATATTTTCAGGTCCACTTTTAATGTAACACATATTTTTTCTTACGTTAAAAGAAGACATCTCATCTTATTTAATATTATTAACACAGGAAGTATCCACGAAGAAAAATGCAAACCCTTTGATTGTTCACAACTTGACGAGGTTTAAATAAATTAGAATTTTTTTCTTAAATATACGTGCTAATAAACTACCAAAATGTGTTGCCTATGAATTTTGTGCTACCAAAAATAGAACATGAGGAAATAACAACGCACAAACACAAAGAAAAAGTAAGTTGATGAAATATTGGTCACCTTTTATTTCTTCTTCATTGATGTTTAATCCCAACAAAATAAGTTTAAAATCAAATGATTAACTCGAAAATGCAATAGTTTTTATTGAATAAAGATATATATGAAATATCCATATATCCATATTTAAATAGTATAAAAGTTGTTAAGAAAATTATTTTTGTAATTAAGTGTTAGGCCTATGCTCAGCATGGGCCATCCCTCCTCTAGTACAGTTATACACAAATGAGATCTTTCCCTGCCACTGTAATAATATGGGGAAAAGGGTCAATTACACCTCTTTACTTGCATATTGATAGTATCAATTTACCCTCAGCTTTAGCAAAATTTTCAAATTACCCTCTAATCTAACAGAAAACCCCAAATCCCAAATTCCTTCTATTTACTACAATTTTTTCTCACAAATTAGTTATCTCCTATGTGTGCTCTACCAGAGAAGAAAATATCTTCGACAAGTTCATTTCTTGTTCCACTTGATTATTTAGAGCAGGAAGACTTTCCAAACTCGCCATCTCCAGGTATGAGAAGACTAGTAAATATTCCTTTGGAAGGATGTTCTGAAGCTGGACATAAATTTAAACATGTAACGACCCGATTAGTCGTTTTGAGCATTTGCACTTCACTCGATAGTTTGAGGGCTCAAGTATCTCCGCATGGTGTACTATGACTTGCGTGGATCGTCAGTGTTGGTTTCAAGTTATTCGGAATCGATTTGGAAGAATGAACTTCAAGATTTAAGCTCTAAATTGGAAGAGTTGACCAAGTTTGACTTTTTAGCATTTGACCTCAGAATGGAGTTTCGTCAGTTCTGTTTGCTCCGTTGGGTGATTTTGTACTAAGGAGCGCGTTCGGATTGTGATTTGGAGGTCTGCAGTTGAATTAGACTTAAACTGGCAGAAGTTGGATTTTTGGGAAGTTTGACCGGTAGTGGACTTTCTGATATCGGGGTCGGATTCTGATTCCTGAAGTTGGAGTAGGTCCGTAATGTCAAGTAAGACTTGTGCGCAAAATTTTAGGTCAATTGGACGTGATTTGATAGGTTTCGGCATCGGTTGTAGAAGTTGAAGTTTCAAAGTTCATTGATTTTGATTTGAGGCGCGATTCGTCGTTTCGATGTTGCTATGTGATATTTAACGCCTCGAGTAGGTCCGTGTTATATTTTGGGACTTGTTGGTATGATTTGGCGGGTTCCCGAGGGGCTCGGGTGTATTTTGGATCATTGGTTGAGAGACTAGTTAAGTTAAGTAATTTGGAGTTTGACCATGGTCAATATCGGGTCAAGACAACCTTTTTTTCAGTGTTTTGAGGGCGCGAGCAAATCCGTAGCGTGTTTTTTGATTGAAATGCATATATGGTTTGTGCCTGGGAGGTTCCAGATGAGTTTTGGGGTGGTTTCGGATCATTTCGCTGAAGTTTGGATTTGCTGGTGCTGGTACTTCGCAATTGCGAACTTTTTGTTGCAATTGCGAACTCCGCATTTGCGAACATTTGGTCGCAATTGCGAACTCCGTAATTGCGAACATGTGGTCGCAATTGCGAGCTGTTCGCAATTGCGAACGTTTGGTCGCAAATGCAACATCTGCAGCTGGGTTAAGAGTTGGAGTTTCGGGATTTTAGCTCATTCCTTCTTATTTTGAACCCTATACTCGGATTTGGGCGATTTTGGAGGTGATTTTCACTACAAGGATTGGGGTAAGTGTTCTCTACTTGATTTTGATTATATTTCATGAATCTATCTTCGATTTTCGCATTTGGATTATGATTTTTAAAGAGAAAGTTGGGGGTTTTTGTCTAAACTTTCCTAAATTGAATTTTTGAGTTTTGAACATCGATTCGGAGTTGGATTTGAGTAAAATTTGTATGGTTGGACTCGTAATAGAATGGATTATCGGATGTTGTAAGTTTTGTCGGGTTTCGAGGTGCGGGCCAGGTTTGACTTTTTGGTTGACTTTGAGTAAGTATGTAAAGATTCAAACTTTATCGATTGGGTTTGCTTACTATGGCATTATTTGATGATTTTGAGTTGCTTTTGGCCAGTTTCGAGCCGTTCGGAGGATGATTTGAATGGGATGGCGCTTTTAGTGTATCGATTTGGCTTGTTTGAGGTAAGTGTCTTGCCTAAATTTGTTGAGAGAATTTTTCCTACTATTTGACATTGTTTGCTACATGTAGGAGAGATACATAAATGAGGTGACGAGCATGTATGCATGTGCCAGGATTAATCATGCTTGGGAGTATATTATGTTATAAATGGTGTCTTGTAAAACTACGCGACCTTCTTGTTTCATGCATTACCTGACTTCTAGATCACTAAAATATGGAATTGAATGTTAGAAACTAAAATTTAGTTTATTATAACTTGATTAAAATTGGACGGAATTCTGAGAAAACATTGATGTGTCTAATTCGAACATATTATTCTTAATCATCAATACATTACTACAGCCGATATTCTTGAGATACTAGATTCTATGCTCGTGTTGTAGATCATTCTTGAGATTTGTTGAAATACTTGAATAATTAGGTTCTTGAGGGTTTATTGATCTATTGTTGGCTTGAAAGTCGTAATATGGGTTCCGTTTGGAATATTCATTTAAACACTCTCCTTGACGTTATTTATGCTTCATGCCTTATTTGTCATTGATATACATATGCTTGGTAAGGAAGAGTATAAAGCACAAAGGGTGATGCCGTGCAATTGTATATACATTATCATGTGA